ATATATATATATATATATATATATATATATATATATATATATATATATAGGCCTGAAAATGCTTTTGTAACTCAGCCTTCTTTTCTCTGTCCATGTTTAGGTGAAAAACCATTTAAATGTGAGTTTGAGGGCTGCAGTCGGAGATTTGCAAACAGCAGTGACAGAAAGAAGCACTCCCATGTCCACTCCAGTGATAAACCCTACATGTGCAAGGTCAGGGGCTGTGACAAGTGCTACACCCACCCGAGCTCTCTGCGGAAACACATGAAGCTCCACTGCACCAAGGAGGACACAGCCAAAGGAGGTGACACACGTCCCGGTGATGAGGGTCATGCTGCGGAGGGCAGGCCGGTCCGAGCATCAGACGTAGACCAGATCAGCCCCCTTCACGCCCCAACCTCCTCTCAGGACATCCACCTGTCCCCTGAGAGCCGGGACGAGCTGACCCCAAGGTCACGCTTCCATCATGCATTTGACAGCAGTTTGGACTACACATCGCACAGGTCACAGCCCCTCTTGGACCCTTTGTTGCTGCAGAGAGGCAACTACAGGTCCCAGTCTTCCCAATACCCCTGCAGTCAGACTGGTCACTCTTTTGCCCAGACCTCACGGACTTTCTCCTCAGCTTCTCCCTTTCAGAAGAGCATCGTAAATGGATGGTACACATGCCACAGTGGCGTGGACTCCTTCCCACCAAAGCAGTGCAGCAACATCCCCTCCCTCTGAGGGCCTGAATGCAAACTGTGGGCCTTTGTTTTCATGTTGTAGCCTAAAATGTAACAGCTGTTTCTCTTTTACTCTGTACTTTTGTGAATTCTGTATGACATAATTTCTGAAAAGTCCTTTTGAATTTTGCATTGTGAAGTATAGCTAAGTTTTGTTTTCCTTATTGCCCCCTACTTGTCTTTACATCTCCACAGTAGGCTTTATGTGCAAATACGCATTGCATAACTTTTTCAGTCTAATGAATGAAAAGAAAAAGTTTGTTTTTTTTTTAAATCTGAGATTTATATGGCTATACCTATCGGCATATTAAGTTTTCTCAATCTAAAAATCTGTAATAAGAAGGTGAAAAGATAAATCTGAATGTAGCCCTCACATTAGGGGTCTTTGTTGAATGTAAACTAGATTTAATGTATGTGGAGAGGAATAGAAATATTATTCATGACATTATGTATATCGCAGGATGAATCATTATGTGGATGATCTTCACTTGGGTTACATTTTAAGATCTAACAAGCCTGCTTGGTGGGCCTGCAGCATGATTTGACTTTAATTACTATACCGGCAGGCTCATTATTTTTTCCTTTTCCCTACACTTGATTAAGTTAATCAGTTTTCGCTCCTTTTATTCCATTAAACATTTGTGCTCTATATTATGTGTTTATTTCACATTTCTGTGAAAAAGTAAGTGAAACCACAGTGTTTGTGTTAATGTTAAAAAAAAAATGTTTTATTAGATGACACTCCTGTACATAAGCATACAGTATAATTAATTATGTATCTTACATTTTATTAAAGTGTCTATATTCTCTTTGATCGGATTTGTGTGATATGCGCTCGTCAATTAATTTTCACCAATGAAGAAATTTTGCTTTTGGAAAGAAAAAGAATAATGGTCTGCGTCTTGAATGAATGAAGTGTCACAAGCAGCCCTCCCACAGATTAAGCAGATTAATTATATATATATATATATATATATATATATATATA